GGGAGCCCAGCCTGCTCCAGAGCACAGAGATGGGAGCTCAGCCTGCTCCAGAGCACAGGGATGGGAGCCCAGCCTGCTCCAGAGCACAGGGATGGGAGCCCAGCCTCACTCAGAGCACAGGGATGGGAGCCCAGCCTCACTCAGAGCACAGGGATGGGAGCCCAGCCTCACTCAGAGCACAGGGATGGGAGCCCAGCCTCACTCAGAGCACAGGGATGGGAGCTCAGCCTGCTCCAGAGCACAGGGATGGGAGCCCAGCCTCACTCAGAGCACAGAGATGGGAGCTCAGCCTGCTCCAGAGCACAGGGATGGGAGCCCAGCCTCACTCAGAGCACAGAGATGGGAGCTCAGCCTGCTCCAGAGCACAGGGATGGGAGCCCAGCCTGCTCCAGAGCACAGGGATGGGAGCCCAGCCTCACTCAGAGCACAGGGATGGGAGCTCAGTCACACTCAAGGCTCAGCACCACCAGCTCTGCCTCTTCCCGACTTGGAGCAGCTCAGAGCTGGATCCTAGGAAAGGAGATACTGTCCCAGATAGTGCACAGCCACCTCGATGTCCCTCCCTGCCCTCCAGAGAGGGTGTCAGCAAGCCAAGGGGATGGTCAGTGGAAGGGAGGAGGTGAGAGGTGGGTGGATTGGTCCAGGCTGTGGCAGCACCAGCCTCTGGGAGCAGAGAACACAGGGAAGGTGCACTGGGAGCAGGGCTCTGCTCCCAGGAGGGATGAGGCGGCTCCAAGGGCAGTTTGTCACCAAAGGATGACTGCTTCCAGGACGCTGCGGCTTCCCCTCCTGGCACAGCCTCTAATTCAGGTGTCTCGGGGCCGTGCTGTGCTGCACGTCCCGGCCCGGTGCTCTGACGTGGCTCAGCAGCATTTGTGGCCTTGTGCAACACCCAGGTCACACAGGGTGACCCAGAAAGGCCCGTGCAGGTGTCAGGGGACAGCCACGGCTGGCTGGACACCCGGCTGGGGAGAGGTGTGTGCTCTTCATCCTCGGGTCGTCTGCAGTAATCCATGGGAAATGCAGGAAAAGCACGGATAATCCCATGTACAAAGGGATGGGACACGGCTATGGGGACAGAACACGGTGGCACCGTGCCCACGGAGGACCCCAGCTGTTCCAGCTGTCCCAGATGCGCTTTGGGACACGGCCTCCGCCGGCAGCAGCGGCCCGCGGCAAGGGAAGCACGAGGGTTAATGACAGCCCGGACAGCTAATTACAGGGCAGGAATGAAACACGCAAAGCCAGCTCGAGTATCGGGGCAGTGCCGGGGAGCCGCGGGCCGGCTGCGGGGCAGGGTCCGCCCGGGAAGCCGTGCGGGGGAACCGGAGCATCCCGGGGACTGCGGGACACGCCGGGCACGGGGCGGCCGCGGGGCAGCGGGGGAGCCCCGCCAGTGGGGCACGAGAAAACGGGGAATGACAAAGCCACCATGGACAGGGACGGCCGTGGAGGCTGTCAGCTCTCCGAAGCTCTGCTCGGGGCCACCGGGGGTCCCTGTGGGAGCTCCGAAATCCTCTGTTCACAGAGTTCCCTGCTCCATGGACAGAGAAGCTGTGCGGGGAGCGAGGCAGTGGGAACGGGATGCGGAGGAAAGAGGCGGAGCTGCCCCTGCCCGCTCCAGCGATCACCCGGAAGGATGGATGTCCTGAGCCCAGAGGGATGCATGTCCTGGGGCCCGAGGGATGCATGTCCTGGGGCCCGAGGGATGGATGTCCTGGCACCCCCAGGAAGAGATGTCCAGGAACCCGCAAGGATGGTGTCCATGTGCTCGGGCCTGCGGTGTCCGTGCCTGGATGTGCCCCTGCCGGGGTCACTGGGGACAGAACGGCGGAGGACGGGCAGCGGGCAGTTCCCGAAGGCCGCAAAGGAAGGAATGCGAGACCACTTCACCCCGGGGGCAGCCGGTGAGACGAGGGCGAGCTGTGCGGGACCGGCACCGGGGACCGGCACCGGGGACCGGCACCGGGGACCGGCACCGGGGACCGGCACCGGGGACCGGCACCGGGGACCGGCACCGGGGACCGGCACCGCCCAAGCCCCGCCCCCTCCAGGCGGCCCCGCCCCTCGCCCCGCCCCGTGTGACGACAGCGCCCCCGCCGCCTCTTGCATCACTCCCCGGCCCCGCCCCCCAGTCCCCGGATGAGGCGGCCCCGGCGGCGGCGCGCGCTGCGGCGGCTGTGACAGGGGATGCGCTCCGGTGAGCGGCGGGGTCGGGGCAGGCCCGGGGGTCCCCGCGGTGGGCTCGGCGGGCCGGGCCCGGCGCGGCGGGCGGGGGGCGCGGGGCGGGCGGGGACGGGGCCGGGGGTGCTGCGGCCCCCGCTCCGAGCCGCGATTGGCTGCAAATTGACAACGGGGCAGGGCCCGCCTCCGAGCCGCGCCATTGGCTGCGGGCGCGGCGCCGCCGCCTCCCATTGGCTGTGCGAGCTGTCAGTCACGGCGCGGCCCCGCTCGGCCGCCGCCCTGCCGGGACCGCGCCGGGTGCGGGGCCGGCCCGGCCGCAGCGAGCTCAGAGCTGCCCCGGCCCGGAGCTGCCCCTGGCCGCCGCTCCGCCGGCCTCCGCCCCGAGCCTGGGCGATTTCCCGTCACTGGCAGGGAGCTGGACGCGTGGTTTGCCTCTGTTCTCGTAAAATCCCTGATGGATCCTATGCCCGGGGCACAGCGTGTTTTTTAGGAAGAGATCCCTCCCGGAATTGGTGATTGGAGCGGGCAGGGCGGTGGTGGTGGAGTCATCATCCCTGGGGTGTTCAGGGCAGTGCCCTGCTGGGGGACACGGGCTGTTTGCTCACGGCTCCATCATCTCACAGCTCCGTTCCTGTGGTTCCGTGCTCTCCGTTGGGTGTTTGTCAGTGATGGAGGGAGGGTTTTCTCCAGGGAGGGTTTTCTCCGGGGTTGTCATCCTCTCCGAGCCCACAGAGCCCTGCTGTGCTCTGTCTGGAGGTGCCCAGCCCCGAGCAGCCCGTGGCCGGGTGATGAGCGTGACCCGAATTGAGCAGACGTGCTGGAAAGGATGCGGTGACAGGAGAGCAGAGCCATTCCCCGAGCCTGCCCTCAGCCCAGTGCCTCCCACCGACCCTTCCCTCTCCTTCCCGGGGAGGAGGAGAGCTGTGCTCTCCCACCCACAGCCCAGTCTGCACTGGCAGTGACTCAGGCCTTCTCTCCCCCCTCTGCCACTCTCCTGACTTGCTCACAAGTGCGGGGGTGAAGGGCACTTCTGGATGCCGGTGGCATTTGTTGCCTGAGAGGTGGTTAAATACAAGAAACTGCTGTAGAAGAGTTCCTTGGATACTTCAGGAAAAAATTTTTTCTTCCTTTACCTTTTTTTCCCACCCCCACCCCCCTGAGAAACAATTCCTGGACATTGCGGAGAGCTGGTGGCCTTTCCAAGGTCAGTGTTTTGTTAGAGATAAAAGTAACTGTAAGGGGAAGAAGTTGTCCCAAGGCAAAAAAAGAGCCTGGGAGGCTTTTAGATATTTTGGAAAGGGGCTGCCCAGGGAGGTAGTGGAGTTCCCATCCCTGAAGGTGTTCAAGAAACTCCTGGATGTGGCACTCAATGCTCTGGTCTGGTTGATAGGGTGGTGATTAGTCAAAGGTTGACTTGATGATCTCAGAAGTCTTTTCCAACCTGAATGATTCCTGTGCTTCTATATTTATTTATTTAAATGTCAGTTTGATGTGTTGCAGTGTGACTGCACAGACAGGCTGGTTAATGGTGCCAGTTAACTGTGGCTGCACAGGATGTGGCAGAGGTGGGTAAATAGTGTGGATCTGGGATTAACAGTGTTAGGTCTGCCCTGGAAGAGATCCCCTGTCCTGTTTCCTGGCTGGGTTGTGCGTTTCTGTATTGTTGTACATGTGGAGGCAGAGCCCAGGTGAGAAGATTTAATCCCACTTGTCACTGGGAGTCCCAGAAGTGAAGGAAGTGTTCAGAGGCAGTGCTTGAGTCAGTGTTTGAGTTGCCTTCCTTCCTTTCCAGGGGAAAACCCTCTTTTTTTTCCCCCGACTCTTTAGAGTTTGCAGGTATGTAATATAATTCCTCATTTGGTGGAGAAGGACAGAGAAGAGAAAGGAAAATAAGAAAGTGGAGAGAAAGCACGAGACTGATGATGTCTGTGACCTTGGTGTCACAAGGAATCTTGTCTCTGGAGACGCTGCTGGCAGCAGACTGCCAGGAAGTACAGCAACAAAGTACAGTTTATGCCCTCAGTCGATTACTGTTGTTTTTTTGAGGTGCCAGGAAAGTCAGACTGCAGAAAGGAAATGATATTTTTGCAGCCCTTGATGTTTGTGACACCACAAACATAATCAAGATAAACTGGGGAGTGTGTTCAGCAGACTGCCTGCACTGCTGTGCTGCCCTGACCCCGGGGCAAAGCCAGCCAGACCCAACAGAGCAGATTTTTCATGATGTGGTTGTGTCCCTCAAGGGCTTTTCTGTCCCCACAGCTCAGTGGAAGGTTGTGCTGGTTCCTTTCCTGATCAACATAGAGTTTAGGGGGTTACTTTTAATATTCTTGTTAAGTGCTCACTGAAGAGCCCCTCTCTGCTGGGGGCTGCTCTGTGGTGCCATTTTGGGGGGGATTTTTCAAATCCATTTTACCCCCCCAGCACTGGTGGAACTTCAGAGATGTAAAAGCGACAGAATTCAGTTCTTTTGGCAGAAATCCATGCTGAGTGCTTTTCCCTTGGAATTCCTTGCTCATTCTGTGGTGTCCAGAAGCATCTCTCCCTCTGGCCACCGCCTTCCCAGGAGGTGGTGTCACAGGGATGGATTGCTGGGGCAGCAGGGAGCTCAGGCTCTCAGGTAAATCACGGCTGCTGGGTGGGGTGCCCTGGGATTCCTCAAGGTTTGAAGCAGGCAGAGCTGAAGAAGGTGGGGTGATCCCCAGAGGGGTTCAGGTCCGTGGCAGCTGCCAGCCTGGCGTGGGAGAGGATCAGAGCTCCTGCTGCCTGGCACACCTCACCAGCCTGCCTAGGAGGGAGAGAGGCTCAGGCAGTGACAAGCATATCCTTTCCACAGCCTGAATTTCCTTCCCAGTTTGCTGTGCAGTCCTCTCTGTGTGGATTCATCCCTTTGGAGTTCCTGGGTTCAGAGCTGGGAGCAAACTGTCCCCGTGCTCAGGCCAGGGTGTTCTGGGACATTCACAGCTCCAGGAGCCTTTCCTTCACCTCTGGAGGTACTGAACCTGCAGCAGGAACACCAACCTCTTCTTTTTTAGTCAGTGAGGTTACTTGGGAAGAAACAGAGGTCAAATGTCTGAAACTTCCCATGTTTGTGAAAGCAAGATATGTTTTTTAATATGAAATCCTGATACTTTTGGCAGTTGTAGCTTGATTTCTGAGAAGCGGCTTTTTGCATCAGTGCATTTCTTCTGGTTTCAAGGCTTCTAACCCAGTGCTGGCTCACTCTTCAAGGGTTTTCCTGTGACTGGATATCAAATATTCACCAGACAGATGAGTCTTGGCCATGTGGTGTAAAGCAGACATGTTATATTTGATTAATGAGGCTGTTGAGATAACAAGGCTTTGCTGTATGCTGCTTGATTTATCTTAAAGGCTTTTCTGAATTTGGCACCAAGTTCCTGCAGGTAGGAATTGGTTATCTCCTGTCTCCTGTGCTGCCCAAATTGGAAATGCAGGATTTCTCATTGCAGCAGAGCAAGGAGCGTTGTGCTGACGCTGTGCTCGGTGACTTTCTTCTCTTCCTGAAAGCTCCCGTGCTGCTGTTGTAAGAGAGGAGGAGGCATTTGTTGTGGTTCACTCGAGAACATTCAGTTCAAAAATAGAACTGCAGGAGAAGGTTCACTTCCCAGAGGTTCAGTTTCATCCCAGCAATGGATGCAGGCACACATCCAAAGGCGTATGGAAATCCGCCGGCTCCTATTCCAGCATGAGCAAAACAAGCCCAAATTGATCGGTGAAATCTAATCTGCAGCTTCTGCTTGTTTGTTTTGCATCTTCCAATAAGACAGGGCACGTTTGCTCTGAGTTTTGGCTGAAGTGCTGGGCTTACCTTGCTCTGAGTTTTGATTGTGTTTGCGGGGAAAAAATCGAGAGCTTCAGGAGCTGGAGCTTACCTGTTGGTCCTCGTGATTTGAGAAGGTGAAGAATGACAGAAACAAGATTTATTCTGCTTTTCTGCCTGTGAATCAGCAAAAAGGGGGAAGAGGAAGAAGAGCTGGTTGTGGACGGTCCTTCCTGCTGTGGGTGGCAGCCCTGGGTGGTGCCAGCACTCGGTGACGGCGTCGTTGCCTCCGAGAAGGGGGGACTGGCAGCCAACAGGCACTTGGACATTTTGTGATAGCCACGCTGGGTTGTTATCTCGAGAACTGAAGGCCACATGTGAGCTTGGCAGAACTTCTTGATCCAGTCCTATTTGAGCTGGTTGCTTGTTTAATTCCAAAGGTCAGTGGACTTTTGTGGTGCCTTGAAGGGAGGGGGGATCAGCCAAGCGTAGCTGGGGGAGTTCAGCCCTGTGCTTGGTCCTGTTTGAGTGGCCTTGCTTTTGCTTCTACTTAGTTTTTCATGTTTGGTGTCTGAAAATATTGGGCAAATGGGGTTGTGAGGAAGAAAGCGGAAAAATGTGCAGAAAAACGACCTGTTTGTGAAGACCAAATAATATTCCTTCTCTTTATATGGCAGTATTTATGAGCTGCTTTTAAATGAGACAGTGTGAGGCAATTAAAATCAGGAGGAATTCTTTCTGCAGCCACTTGAGATGCTGCAGGTACATCCAGGGTGAATTACAGTGCTCAAAGTCATCCCTGGTGTGACGTGTGAGGGACTGAGTGACTTTGAGAGCAGGGAGGAGTGGATTCCCCACTGTGGGAAGGGGTGGGTCCCAGCTGAGATGTCGTGTTGGATTTCAGGCTGAGTGTTTTGGTCTTAGATTTCATCCCAAGCTTCGCTGCAGTCTCCCGTCACATGGAGAGCCCGGGAAGCTTTTTTAAGGTACCGTGTTACACTTCAAGCTGTGTTTGTGTTTTCATGGCTTAGCTGGGAGGTGGTTCCAGAGAGATTTGGGGTTGGCCTTGAATGCAAGATTCCTTAAATTACTTGAAAAATAGTCTGCATGTTAGTTGGGTTCCTTCTGGTGAATTATTGAGCTTTTGGCTCTCGTGATATCCAGAGGATACTGCTCCTCTCATTTGAAGGATGCTTTTGAGGTGGGAAAACAGATTTGTGCTGTATAAACCCCTCTGGATTTAGACAAGTTCTTAACCTCCACTCTGTGTTTTTTTAGAGTCATTGCAGCATGGAAAAGTTCTTTCCTTTTCACAGTGGAGAGTTGCTGTGTCCTGCTGACTTTGTTGGGGGGGGGCTTGAAAGGAGCCTCGGTGTTTTGAACGTAGTTCTTGTCTGGGAGCAGCTTTGGAGCTGGAGCTGTGCCCACGGAGCTGTGTTTTCCCAGGGCACTGTGTGAATGCTAAGCTGTGTTGGAATGAATTTGAGTGGGCAGCAGCATAAGCCTGCTCTCATTTTCCCTGGAAGACGCTGCTGCATTGTCTTGTCTGCTCTCTGAAAGCCTCAGTGTTGTTTGTCAAAGGCTGGATTCTGCAAGTGCCACGTATGCAAAGGAGCCCTGAATAGGAAGGGCTGGCCGTGCTGGTTCTCAGCTCCTGACAGAATTCCTGGGGCTGGGGCAACAGGCTGAGGCAAAGCAGTTTTTGTTAAACTCGTGGTACTCCGTGGGCATCCTCTCTCCCACACATGAGATGTGTGGAATTGTCTGGTTGTGTTCTGATAACTCCTGGGATTTGCTCTCTGCTTGCACAGTCCATGTTTTTATGCCATCATTCTGAGGGAATGGGCAAGGGCTGGTGGAGTGAAGGATTTTCCCGTGGCCACATGTGTGCTGGGAGCAGGTTTGGAAGCTGTCAGCATCTCCCAGGTTGATATTTTGGCTGTGAAGCATCGTGTTTGTAGGGTGTCTGTGTGCCCTTCTCCTGCCCCCCATGGGAATACAAGTGATAAATAGCAGGATAGGGATGCTGGAGCTCAGCAGTGCAGGCTGGCATGGCATCTGCAGCAGGGTTTATGCAGAGCAGTCAGCAGGTCCCAAATCCCTGCTGATAGCATTAGGGATGGTGGGGAACATGGAGCAGGGGCAATCATGAATCATGACCTACCACCCACTTCACCAAGGCGGGATGAGAGAGCTGGAGAAGATCTGGGAGCGTTGGGAAGGAGGAATTCCTGCCCAGGGCCTGAATCTCCTCCCTCCAGTGTCTGAAAGGAAAAGGTGTTTGGACAAGGAGTGGGGGGCAAACACACCCCCTGTCCTTGGGAGCCCCAGGCAGCCCTTCCTGTTCTTGCAGGGCTGCTGTGCTTGGAGGGATCCCTTGGATGTTGATTTCCAAGGGTGTGCCCCGTGTGAGCAGACAGGAAGGAGTCTTGTGCCTTATCTCAGCTACTTCTAGGAAATGATGTAAGATGCTTCCTTGTACAAGGTTTTTCCTTGTCATATCCTGAATTTTACTGACAGCCAGCTTGGCTGCTCACCGTTTGAGCTCAGCCCCTCTGGAGCTGTGGGGGCTGATCCTGTGTTGTGCTTTATCTGATTTATTCTGGGATGAATGTGCGCCCTGCTGGTCAGAGCCTCTGCGCTGTGCCGGTTTAGAGCTGTGCAGGGAAAGGTTGGAGGCATTTATTGAAGGCTTGGATCAGTGCTGGACAAGAGCTGTGGACAGCACCCAGCAGTGCCTTGTCCTGGCACTGGGAATCACTGGGCACAGCAGAGCTTTGCCAGGTGTCTGCTCCCCTCCGAGCTCCCAGCGAGGAACTGCAGGAATGGGCAGGAATCCTCAGCTCCACATCCACAGTCTCTGCACAGGGCTTGGGATTCATCCCTGTGGAGTGACTGAGCTGCCTTGGTAATGGCTGATGCAAGTGCTCCCAAAGAAAATCCTGTCTGAAATTTGTGGTGGGAATGGCTCCACAGCTGCTTTTCATTTGCTCTTCGCAGGAAAGGAATTACCATCTGTTCTCCTGGGCAGTGTGAGGACCTGAGCCATGACACATTGGCTTCTGCAGTAAAGCTGTGGAGTTAAATAAACACAGTGTGAGATTGGAGGTGTTTTTGAGGTGCTTGGAACCCTCTGGATAAATTTGCTCTTGGCTTGTGGCAGCTGCAGGCTCAGCTGGAGAGCCAATGTGCCAGATCTGCCTCGCGGTGTTTGGCCTGGCTGCCCTCTGACGAAAGCGTGGGATTGTTCTGGCCCACTTTTAGGTGTCAAAAATGTGGGTCACTGAGATACAGAACACATCAGTGTGACAATTTTAGCCTGAAGGGACAGAGAAGTGATGCCTGTTAGAGTGTGAAAGTCAGGACTTTTTAGATCAGCTCTTCTGATCAATGGGCTTGGTGCAGGCATTGTTCACAGCCTCTGCTTGGAGCACAGGGGAGGTTGGGTTCACCCCACTCTTTTTCTGGGTGGTAAGGACAGCATTTGAGGCTTGGCTTTTTGAGGAGAAAAAAAAAATGCCTTAAAGAGCTGTGGGATTGCTTGGGGAGGGCTCAGCAATGGTGCCTCTCCTGGCTGGGGTCTGAGTATTCTCCTGGTCCTGCTCTGCATTTTATCTCCTTCATCACCTCTCAGACCTGAGGCCTCTAATGTCCCTCAGACCATAGAAAACCATACAAAAGTGTGTTGGGTTGTGCTTCTTGTGCTGGCTGATAGCCTGGGGAGGTCCGAGAAAGGAGGATCCTCATGGAGAGGGCACAGCAGTGCCTTGGTGTGGGAAACTTCTCTGGACTCCTCCAGGCTGGGAACAGTCCTCTGTGATATCTGTGAGAGAGGCTGATCTTCCTTGTGTCTGTTTGAGGCAGCAGAACTACCTGGATAATTCCTGTTACCTGCATGTGATGCAAGTAGGAATTAGCCAGGACTTGCTGCAGGAAGAATAAGTTGAGTTTTGATCTCCACACAGAGCTGTTTGTAGTTACCTCACTTGGAGTGTTCATCCTCCTTCACTACTCACCTCTGCAGCTCTAAAAGCAGCTCTAGTGCAGTCACTGTGTGGTGGCAGGGGGCAAAATCTCTTAAAAACATTTAATGAAGTAAAGTGGAAACTGGTAGCTGTAAATTTGAGTGTATAAATTTGGGTGGGCTTGTGGCACCAGCTGGAGTTTTGGTGGCAGGTACAAAATCCAGCCAAAACTTCTGGGCTCATTTCAGGCTGCTCCACAAGCACTTCCAGAGGCTGGGTAAAATCCTGGGGCTCGTTGGGGCAGGTCTGTGTGCTGGATGAGCCCTGGGCAGGATTCTGGACATTCTGGGTGTGGGTGCCACGTCCTGGTGCTGTGGCTGAAGGCCAGGATTGAGCAGAGGTTTTGGGGGTGCTCTGCCTGGGTTTGTCCTGAGTGTAGTCCTGTGTTTGTGTCCTGCAGGTCGTGTTGATCATGGACAGTGAAGAAATCCCTACTTTTTCGAGTCCAAAGGAGGAAACTGCATATTGGAAAGAGCTTTCCTTGAAGTACAAACAAAGGTATTGTGGATTTGCAGGCTGAATTTGGTTCTTAATGATCTGAACAATGTTTAATCTATTCCTCTGCAAGGCCACACCAAGATGGTTATTAGATACTTTAGAGAAAACCTGTGAGAAGAGAATTCTCTGGAAAGGATTTCCAGCTTTAAAATTTCCATCTCTGTGGGAGCTGAGTGTTTCTTGCCCAGTGTCACCATGCCAAGAACTGCAGGCTATGTTTTGAGCATGTTTGAGCAAGAGCAGAGCCTTTTATGATCATGTGCACCTTTGTGTAATTAAAGTGCTGCCTTAAGTGGTATCTTGATATTTTATCATAAGAAGGCACCTTTGGGCTTGCCCTGTATCATTCCTGTTCCCTCAAGCTTCTTGGAGTGGAATTACTGGTATGAAAAGTGGCTGATTTGGTGTCTGCTGCATTTTATTCAAGTGTTTCATAGCTCCTGGTCCTGCCTGCACCAGTGGTTTGCATCTCTTAGGGGACACAGGGCTTTTTGTTACCAAAAGTGCCAAGAGAAGCTGCTCTCTGGAGTAATGCTGTGCATCTGGGGGGTGGGCTGAGGTTTTTTTTGGGTTAAATCCCTCTCAAGCCCTAAGAGCCCAGGGTCCAAGTGGCTTTTCTTGTTTGGTTTGGGGTTTTTTGGGAGGGACATGTTGGGAATGTGGAGGGGCCTGTCCTTGTGGAGAACCCTAAGCTGTTCCAGTGTGACAGAAATTCCACCTGAGACACCACTGGATGTGTTGTTGCCTAAAGCCTCAGTGGTTTTCTCTGCTGCTTGCTCAGGGCTGAGCTATTACGTGTGGTAAAGATGCAAATTTAATAAGCAAAGTATGTGGAGGGGCTGCTTCTAGTATTTAATAACTTGTGGTGGTATGAGGTAGGCATGTCCTGCCTTCCTGACTCTGCATGATTTTTACAAACTTTAATTTTCCAGCTAGTGCAAAGGTGCAGAAACTGTTGTTCTCTCTTCAGTTTCTGACCACAATCTGGTTAAATGTTTGCTTAATTCATTGTCTGTTCCATAAAGTCTGCCAGCAGTGAGAGCTAATGGAGCACAAAGTGCTTCTCAGGCTCCCATGAATCCTGTAAATAGCTTTGATCCACACAGGCATTCAAGGTGGCTGTTGGGTTTGATGTAAGAGAATTAATTTCCTTCAATAGCTTAGCTTAATGTAATTTCTCTGTTTCCTCATTTTTCTTTTTCACCTTAGAGGTCTATGGATGACACTTAAGTGTTTTAAAACTCGGGTTTTTTCAGCTTTTTATTTTAGAAGAGCTGCAGGCTTTGATTTAACTTGGGAGATGCTGGATTTTCCACTGATGAAATCTTCTCCTTGCAGCTTCCAGGAGGCTCGTGAAGAGCTGGCTGAATTCCAGGAGGGAAGCAGGGAATTAGAAGCTGAGTTGGAGGCACAGCTAGTGCAAGCTGAGCAGAGGAACAGAGATTTGCAAGCAGATAACCAAAGACTGAAATATGAAGTGGAAACATTAAAGGTAAGTCTTCTCTGTCGTAGTGTTGCTTTTCCTTTCAGCTACATCTTGGATCTCATCTGGGCTGCTCTTGGGCACTGAATATCCAAATAAAAAAGGAGTTGTCTGGTTAAGATCCACACTGAAGCGTGGCATGTACCCCAAATAAGGCCAGGGACATTTCTGGCAGAACTTTTCTTGTTCACGTCATGAAACTTCCTCCTGGAGTTTGTGCTGGTTTGAATTCCTGAGGCTTTATTTGTTCCACAGGGAACATCAGCATAGCAACAGGAGTTTTGTCAGGCCACTGCCTTGTCACCTTTCTTTGCAAACCAGTCTTTTTGCCCTCAGGGTCTCCTTGGTTTTATGAGACCCCAAAGAAACCAGAAAATGGGTGATTTGTGCACATTTCTCAGGGAGTTTCCACATCTGTTCACAGCCGTGTCTGTGGAGCCAGGAATTGCTTAAGGAGCTGCATGTGCAGAAGGTAGCTCTGAATTGATGCCTCTGTGTTAACAAGTTCTTGTCTCTCTTGAAATCTTGCAAAAGCATCATTTTGGGCAGTCTTGGCTTATTTAGTGAAGACAGAGGTTAGAAATTCACTCAGTGCAAGGAGGGTTTATGGGATTACTTTGTGTCTCCAGTCTCAGCTGTACTTGCAGGCTCAGGATGTGTTTTATGAGGTCAGTAGTTTCTCCATAGGCCCCGATCAGTGCCCTCAGAGGGTGTTTGGCAGTGAATTCTTCAGTCTTTTGAGGCTGAGTTTGTGGGCCTGGAGGTTTTGTGACAGATTTCAGTGGCCCATTCTTGCCAAGGGACACATCCGAGCATTTCTGGTGTCAGGGTGGGTGTTGTCAAGGCAGAAGCACAGAAGGGGAGGCTGTGCAGTTGCATTTCTCTCTGCCTTCCTGGAGCAGCTGTCAGTGCAGGCTGTGGGGAGCAGATGCAGGGATGCATCCCTCAGAGGCAGCTGGGATTTTGTACCATGGCCAGCTCTGACATTCACAGCGTGTTCCTTCTCCCTCTCCAGTTTCTCCATGCTGCAAAGAGAGTGATGCTTCTTGTCCCCTTTTCCTGCCCATGACTTGGCCAGTGCCAGCAGCTGATGTTTATCTCCCTGTTCTTTGTTTCAGGAGAAGCTGGAGCACCAGTATGCCCAGAGTTACAAGCAGGTGTCGTTGCTGGAGGATGACCTGAGCCAGACAAGAGCCATCAAAGATCAGCTGCACAAATATGTGAGGGAGCTGGAACAGGCCAATGATGACCTGGAACGTGCAAAGAGGTGAAGGCTGCTAACCTCCTCTTCCCTTCAAGTTTGCACCACAAAGATCTTTTCTTTGCTACTCAGCTCAAGTATTTCATTGTTCCTGAAAGCTAAAATAACAATCAGAAAAACCCCAGACAGCCCCAAGACTTTGCATTCTTTGAGCAGTGCAGTTGCCCCTCATCATCAGCAGGAAGGGCAGTGTTGTTTGTGCTGCTGTGAGGAGCAAGCCCAGAGCCAGCCAGGCCACAGCACTGCCCTTGGTACCCCCAGCTGAGTGACTGATGTTTGTGCTCCTGCTGCCTCAGAGCCCCTTTGAAGTCAGAACATCCTGCTTTCCATAGTCCCTGTTAAATCAAACAGGCCAAAGGAGTCTCCTGGTCCCTTGCAGAACAGCTGGAGGGAACAGTCCTGCCCTTTCCAAGTGCCTGGAATGAGCACTGGCTGCTGTGGGAACACCCAGTTTGGGAGGAGGTCATGCTTCCCTTCTGCTAAGTGGGAATTCTGCCACGGATTCAGGGAGAGCAGGAATGAGCCTCTGGCTATCTGCAGAAAGATCTGAGAGCTGAGGCCCTGTTCCCACAAGGCTCATGAGTAACTTCTGACACTGATTTTGGGAGGAGTTGGGTCATGGGCAATGTCCCAGTGCTCTGCTGCCCACCTTGGCAGAGCCCTGGGAGCCCGGCCCCACTGGGAGCTCTGGTCAGTGCCCAGCTTTGGAGCATGGCTTGGGGAAAAAGGAGCTGCCTGCTCTGGCCTGGCTCTTTCCCACAGCTTTGGTCCATCTCTGAGAGCCAGATGCTGTCGTGTTCTTCTCAACTTTTTCTCTCCTGTTTTTTGGAGTTGATTACTCCTTTCTAAGGAGCATTTCCACGGCCTTCAAATGCTTACCTTGAACATAGCCCTGCGAACATTTACCTTCTGTTATGCTTTTGAATAAGCTTTTATGCTGGCTGAGCCGAAGAACCTAATATTCTGGATTTTGTTTCTAGGGCAACAATAGTTTCATTGGAAGACTTTGAACAAAGGCTGAACCAAGCTATTGAGAGAAATGCATTTTTAGAAAGTGAACTGGATGACAAGGAGTCATTGCTGGTCTCTGTACAGAGATTAAAGGATGAAGCAAGAGGTATGGCTGGTCTGGTTGGTTCTGGCTCCTGATGCAGGGCTGGTTTGCTAAAAGAGATGTGCAGCAAGCAAAGCTCATGTTTCTAGAAAGCCTCACATGATGAGATTTGAACTGGATGCTTTAGGTTTTATTAACAGTGTGTTCTTTGTATGTCCAGAGTAGACAAAAAGAAAAAATTCCTCATTTAGGGTAGAATTAATAATAGATGAATTCAGGATTTTTAACACAAAAATACTCTGTTCCACAGATAGAAGAGAACTGAGGAAGTTGCTTCAGAAGTTCCTCTTGCTGTGGGTTTATAGGAAGGGAAAGCACAGGAAGTGACAGGGAAATACAGGATAAATGACCAAGTAACTCTTCAAAAAATCTCTCCTGTGTTCCCTCTAAGCCCCTTGGAAGTTACCTTAAATATATTATTTAAGATATTCTGCTAAAGGCTGTGTTTAGACCTGTGGGAGATGTTTGGGATGGTGTTCTGGGATAAGTTCTGGGAGTTGGGAATTCCCCAGTGGATTTCACATTGAGGATGCTGGGGAAGCATTTTAATGATGTTATGAACTGATTTCTCTAACTGGGGAAGTGATCTGCTCATAGGCCTGTGCCAGCCAATAATGTACTTTAGAGGTTGGTGGTTTGCAACTTCATTCCCTAAATGAAGCTTTCTAAAATATTTCCTGGTTTAAGGCCTGGACCTGAGTGTAAGAACACACCTGACAGCAGGCTGGGATTGTTTTGTTGTTGGTCTCCTTTATGGATCTTTTTGAAGTGAGTTTGTGCCCCAGAAATTGGGAGCTTTATTGGAAGCGCAGGGATTTTGTAATAAATATGAAGAAAGAAATTTTGTGAGGAAGTATATGTATTGTAATTTGAGATTAGGGCAGTAAAACTGGAAAAACCAGCAAAACCCAGAGGACTGTTTTCTAGAACACTGGAACAATCAGCAAAACAGACATCTTGTTTCTTAGATGAGTCATTTGGACATTTTCAGCATTTGTGAGTTATTCCCCCTGGCAGCAAGCAGGAACAGTAGCCTCTGAAAGAACTGCTACAGTCAAACTCAAATATGACATTTCTGATTGAACAGCCTCAGATCCTCTTCTGGGAGCCCAGACAGATTTTCCCTTCAGCTTTGCTGTTTTACCTAAAATCAGTTCTAAATATTTGTTACAACTTAAAAGCTGTGATGTGCAGTTAATTTTTGATTTTGTACCAGATTGAGGCAAGGAATAGGAGATCTGTGAAATCTCCAATTGCTCTGCCCAAAAAGGAACAACTCACTTGTAATGTTTGTTTGCATCTTTCTGAGGACTTGAGAGATCCGTGGTTGGGCTGTGCTGGATGTTCTGTATAACAAAAACCTGTGGAAAGGGAAGGGACAGGGTAGGGATAAGCTTCAGTCTGGGGAAGGAGGTGAGAATAAAACCAGGCTTTTCTAATGCCCAGGCTTTTCCCTGTCCTTTGGACTGCCCTCCATTCTGTTCCTTCACTTGTCAGGGCATCAAGAAACTGGGTGCAACCCTTGGACTGCCTTTGGCTGGTGTGGGTTATTAACTGGGAGGAGAATGTAGGGAATGGGAAACACAGGAATAGGTGTGAAAAACATTGCTCTGTTTTTCCAAGCTGTGTTTGAGCAGGAGCTGGGCTCAGCAGCAGCAGCAGCAGCTCTTTGTGTCCAGCTGCAGTTTTGGTGACTGCAAATGGGGAGAAATCCTGGGGCAAATCAGCTACCCCCATCCAGGGACAGGGAGCTGTGTGCTCCCTCCTGTCTGGGATGGCATGGCATGGGGCTGCTCTGAGAGGTGTCCCCACTGCTGGAGGAGGCGGCAGCAGGCACTAACCCAAGATTGTTGAGAAGTGTCTCCTGCTGCCCTTCCCAAACATTTGTGAGAGAATCAATCACTAATAAGGGATTTTGGGGGTTTTTCCCTTCTCTCAACCCTCAGACCTGCGTCAGGAGCTGGCTGTGAGGGAACGGCAGCAGGAGGTGACCCGGAAATCAGCACCCAGCTCTCCCACTCTGGACTGTGAGAAGATGGATTCAGCTGTCCAGGCCTCTCTCTCCTTGCCAGCTACACCCGTTGGAAAAGGATCAGAAAATAGTTTTCCTTCCCCAAAAGGTATCATCCATAGGAATGGGGTCTGGTTATGCTCCATAAGGAACCTGAGGTGGCTGTGGGAGTGTGAAGCTCACACATTTCATGGGGTGTGTTGGAGTCCCAGGGCAGCCGTGTCAGGAGGGAGCAGCATGGAAAAGGACAGTGAAGCCTTGACACTGCCTTTGGGGGCAGGCAGAGCTTTGCACTCTGCACTGGGTGCCTGCTGTAGAGCCCTGAAGGTATTTGGGAATGCAGGGAAGTGCAGGGACTGATAATTGTGCTCAGATGTGCAGCAGCAGTGGTGGGTGAGCATGGTCAGGAGTTTGGAGTCTGTTACCACATTGACTTCCCAGGGGTCCTGTTTCCTCCCTGAGGCAGTGGGATCTTAGTCCAGCCACTTATCCCATCTGGAAGGCTCTGGACAGTCACAGGGATTAATACTTGATTTTTCAGATGAGGAAGAGTGGATTCCAGAGGGAGCTCTGGCTGGATTAGATGGATTGCAGTCAGTGGCCTTGTAGATGGAGAGTGCATGAACTCTGCTGGGGGGGCTAATGGGAACCAGGGCAGTGGGCAGGAATTAAGCTTTATCATTTTCCCTGGCTGTGATCCTGCAGTTACTGTGGGTAACTGTACAAAATGTCTGCAGCAAGATTGTGGATATGTTTGTTGGTTTGTTTTTTTTTTTTTAATGTAGAAGCTGATTTATTTAAATTTTTGAAAAACCTGAACTGTGGAGGAGTGAAATAATAAGATGTGTCTGTGTTTGCAGCTATACCAAATGGGTTTGGTACCAGCCCACTGACTCCTTCAGCTCGAATATCTGCACTCAACATCGTGGGGGATCTGCTACGGAAAGTGGGGGTGAGTGCTCTGAGCTCTCCTGGGGCTTCTGTCCTTGTGCTCCATCACAACACAGCCTCAGCCTGTGCTGGGTACATTCTGCAGCTGCCAAATCATCCACATTCACTGCTTAGTATTTGATAACTCCTATTATTTTTTAAATTATTTTGATTTTTAAAGCCCAATCCTATGGTTCTGATCCAGTTTTGAGGTGACAAAATTCATATTTGAAATAAAAATTTTTCAAGTGCTGGGTTAGACTCTGACAACTTGTTCTTACCTTAACTGGGCCTGCAGCTTCCTCTGTCTGGGCTGCAGAGCTGGAGCTCAGGCCCTGGGTGAGGGAGGAGCTGGGATGACCCTGCCAGGGTCTCCTGGGGGAAAAGCTCCTTTCCCATGAAGATCTGCCACAGATACTGAAAGAAAAACCAGCCTGGAAACCTTTGGTAAGAAAGTGAGAAAATAAATGAGGAGAAAGCCAAATGCTCCCATCTATGGTTGGTGGGGAAGTGAAATGCATGAGCCTTTAAATGGATTACACTGTAAGCAGGGAAGAAGTGCTTTAAACATCTGCTGCAGTGTTGTTGAGGACCCAGGATTTCCTCTTGGAAGAAGAAATGACTTTTGGGCTCCCAGGAGCCTCTCGGTGAGTGGTGGTGGTGGTTGGTGTGTGAGTGGAGCACAGGGGAGCTGTGGCTGCCTGGGCCTGGGCCTGGCAGGAGCTGCACTACAGACAGTTGTTTTAGCAAAGTTAGACACGAAAAATTGCCTGGCTGCTCCCATTTGGAGGCAGCGAGCTCAGCCTTGGTCTGAAAGGGCAGCAGGACAGCTCAGGGTTAGCAGTGACACGTTCAAAAGGGGATCATTGTGAGGAAGAGTCTGCAGGGGATTTAGGGAGCTTAGTGACAATCCCATGTGATTACTCTGCGAGGACAGGAAATGCCAAATAAGCAAGCTGCTCTCCCAGCCTGCCCTGAGCCACAGCTCGATTCCAGCTCCAATTAGAGGCTGCTCAGGTTCTTTGGGGCTTGGCTGTGCCTCATCCCAAGCCTTACACTCCCCATCCCTGCAGGAAGTTTCCCCTCTGCTTTCCTGCCCGCAGCTGAGACAAGGAGTCCCTGACTCAGACCACACTGCCTGTGGCCAGGGGACAATCTGTGACACCCAGAGTTACCTGCAGCTGCCTGTAAATCCATAATTCCTAAATCCATGGGTTCCTGGGGGGCTGCACAGGGCTCACTTACCTGTGCCAGCATGTCAGTGCTCCCTTAATGGAATATTCTGTGCAGAGCAGGACCAAACTCCACGTTTGGGGAGATGAATTTCAGTTTGCAGTGCAGCATTTGCAATGTTCTGAACCCCCCTGTGCACGGGCGGGTGTAGTGAGTAAGGACTTTCTGCTACACCAGATGGAAATTCAGGATAAGGGGGATAATCAGACGGTGGCAGAAAGGGCAGGTGATGCTCTGGAGTAAAGGAGAGAGTCAGGATGTTGCGCCTCCTTCCAGGAGTCACTGTCACTTTACAGAGGGGAAAAAGATCTCACCAGGCCTGTTTGGAAGGGTGGCAGTGAAGCTTTAGAAATTGGCTTTATTTTGCAAGGCAAGATTAAGAAAGAAATTCCAGGAGGCATTGTCCTGGTGAAAAACCCAACTTTCCAAATGCACAGTCCCTCTCAAAGCTTGAGGATTCTGCTTTAGGCTCTCAGTCTTCTGATCAGCTCAAGGCAGCTGCTGAAGCAAGGAGTTTGGGTAACTTCTGCTAGGATTTGGCTTCCTTATCTTGGGTAATTATTTCAGAGTTCATCTGTTCTAGAATCTGAGTCCTCGTGGAGCTGAGTAATGTCTGGCAGTCTGCATCAGCATCTGTGTGTTTCCTCTGTGGTTGGGTGACAGAGGAAATGACAGCTTTGTTCCCATTTTTTTGCCAAGGGTGATCACACTAGAGTCCTGACCATGGCAATCTTGGGCTCTTGAGCAGTAAAATACTTCCCCTTAATTATTACCTTTCTTTTTAATTATTATTCTTTCCCTCCCCTTTCACAGGCCTTAGAATCCAAACTAGCTGCTTGCAGGAATTTTGCGAAGGACCAGGCATCACGGAAATCCTACATTTCAGGGAACATCAACAGCGCCGTGATGAGCAGCAACGGCACAAAGTACCCACACCCAGGGCACACCTCCTTCTTCGACAAGGGGTGAGTCAGGGCACAGCTCTGCCCTCAGCCAGGGCTGTTGGGGGCACCTTTCATGGCCCCAGGCCAGCACAGCTTCCATCCTGCAGCAGAAACACCGGTGGAGCAAAGTCTGCAGGGCATTTCTGTGGTGCAGAGAGAAAAGCAGGTGTGGGGGCTGGATCCTGCCTGGTCTCTCGGTGGCTGTAAGCAAGCCTGGCAGTGAGGAATGGGCCCTCTGAGAGCATCTCGGGAGCAGAGGAGGGCTTGGTGTGCTCTGGGGAAGTGCAGAACCTCGCCTGCAGAGTGCCTCAAAGCAGCTGAGGGCAGGCAGGGGTGTTCCCTGGGAGGGAGGGAGGGAGTCCTAGGTGCTCACACCTCCTCTGGGAGCTCAGGGATGAGCCACTGGTGTGGAATTGTGGCTGCTGAGGGTGGCTCCTCCCTGCTGAGAGCCAACCTCGGAGCCAGGGATTGCTTTCCTGGGAGCAGGGACCCCGTGTGTGTGCCGTGCTCAGAGCTCCCTCTGGGATGTTGGGAATGCTTCTGCAGGAGCCTTTCCCTGGTTCCTCCCAGCACAGCGCCCTGAGGGTGTGCAAGGTGGAAAGCACAGAGTTCTCCAGTGGTACTGAGGATGGCATTCAGTGGTACTGAGCACCCTCCTTGCTCCCTGCATGTCTTCACGCTGAACCTCAGTGCAGTTTAATGCTGACATTCAGCACTTCCTCGATCCTACATTTGTTTTAGAGAATGAAATGAGCTGTTTCTAACCTGAAATTACCAGAGCACCCACCTGAGCTTTCCACATTCATCTTCAGTGGGGCTGTGTGGGGAGCAGGGCACGCTGCACCTCAAAAACTGGCAGTGAGAGCTTCTGGAGCCACTGGTGTTCGCTGCTTTGGGAAAGGAAGAATTCAGAACTCTGAAGTCACGTGCAAATGAGCCTTTTGGGCTGTGTGTGCTGCAGGGCTGAGGGGGCTGTGCATCCCCCAGCAGTGCTCCTGCAGCTCCAGGGAAGTGCTGGGGAGGGATTATGGCAGCTCTGAGCAGGCAACGTGGCTATAGGGAGGTGTGGTGTGACAATAAGCTGATTGCTCTGTGGAGTGGGGGTCACTTTTAATTATCCAGATTGTCATCACACTCCTCTGCAGGGAGGAGCAGGCTGGGGCTGAGGAAGGCTTAGAAAGCCTGCTGCAGCAGAGCTGGAGGTGTTAGTGGACAGGAAAAGGGCTGGAAGTGGTTCACGTGCTTATTGCAAGTTGCCAGAGGTGCTGCATGGCCCCACTGTCCTGGTCTTGTCCCCTGTCCCTGTGTGCTGCTCCCAGGCTGTCCCTCAGGCACTCTGCTGCCCTGCTCTGTGCCCAGGAGCTGCTGGCAGTGCCTGTGCTGTGCTCCAGCTGTGTGCATCCCTGCTGGGGAAAGCCTGGCTGGGAGCTGGACCCAGCCAGGGCAGCCTGTGCTGGCTGTGCCCTGACCCAGGGGTGAGTGTGACCCTGACCCAGGGGTGACCCTAACCCAGGGGTGAGTGTGACCCTGACCCCAGTGTGACTGTGATCCTGATCCAGGTGTGTGACCCTGACCCAGGGGTGAGGGTGACCCTGACCCAGGGGTGAGTGTGGCCCTGCTCCAGCTGTGACAGCTCCAGCCTGCAGCCAGGAGCAGCTGGTGGCTGAGTGGTGGGGTTGGCTCAGAGGTAACTCAACCACACCCTTACAGCTCTGTTTGTTTTCCTCCTTCTGCCATTCCCTTGGTTGAAACATTTGAGCGTCTCCAGCTCCTGTCAAGGCCCTGCTCTCGGAGGGGAACAGGGCAGCACAGCTTCAGGGTGGCCTGGAGCACAGCAGGGCTTGCACCAAAGCTCGGCTGCAGAGCTGGGGGAGTCAGGCTTTACCTGCTTGTTAAAAACTCAGTGTCTGGTGTAAGATCAGTCTCCTGCAGATTTGCCCTTCAGCAATGTGCAGGTTCTGTCCAGGTGCCAGGGAATGGCAGAACAGCACCTGAGGATGGTCCTCAGGATGGATACTTGGTTTTTGCTGTTGTAATTATTGTTAATTGGTTGTTAATGTCCAGGAAACAAAACTGCTCTGGGCTCTGCAGGGCCCTGGCACTGGGACAAGCCAGCCTGAGGTGCTTCTACCCCTTCCTGCAGTCCTGAATGCCAGTGTCCTCACAGCTGATGGTTATTCTTGGTTATTTCTGTGAATCCCCTGGGCTTTGTTTTCATGAATGAGCTGAAGTTTAATGTAAGAAGTGCCTGTGCTCACACACAGCAGTCAGAGGTGTCTCTGCTCTGTCACCCACAGCCCTGGCCAGATTACACAAGGCTGGGAGATCTGGGTCTTTTTCCAGTCCCTGATCCACCTTATTTAAACCTTATTTAAAGGTTTCCCTGGGATAGAGGGAGCTGTGGGTGCCTGGGGTGGTGATCCTGTGCCTGTGCTGTGCTGGATTGCCCCTGCAGAGCTCAGACTGAGCTTTGGTTGAACACCTGTGCTTGGCCCCAGCTGTTGCCTCAAGGGTTGTGCTCAGGAATGTAATTTTTGTGTGCATAAACTTTCCCTTTCTCTCCACTAGGCGTGAGAAGGTCATATTCCCCACCTTGGTCATGGGTAAATGAATTCATTTGCACTGATTGGCTGCATGTGGTGTAACCTGGGGCTTGGGGCAGCTCTGGGGGCTCTGGTAACTGCACGAGGTAGTTGGTAGTGCCACACACTAATGGGCCCTGATCAAATTAATGACCAAAGCCTGAGCCTGCAATTGCTTTCTCCTGACTTGGAATAAACCTCTCTGCTGCTGTGACCTGTTGCAAACATAAGCCTGAGTGCTACTTGCTTTCTTCACCTGTTTAATCCTTCAAAGAAGTGCATGTTTCTGATGGAACTGGTCACAGCAGGGATGCAGGGGAAGCGTGGCTTCACCGTGGAGTCCATTTGCCCTTGGCTTGTGATTTCCCTTCAGCGTTTTGTGGCTCTTGACTCGCTGATGTGCAGTGGCGTGGTTGTGGCTGACAGGAAAGCAAACAAGGGCACTTGTGGCTGGGAGATGGCCAGGGGCAGAGCAGGGAGGGGACAGTGTGGGTAGGGACAGCAGTGTCCCTGCTCAGTGTCACTGTCCCTGCCCAGCTCAGCTGTGGCAGCTGGAAGCACCCAGGGCAGTTCCAGAGCTGTGCAGTTCCAGAGCTGTGCAGTTCCAGGGCTGTGCAGTTCCAGAGCTGTGCAGTTCCAGGGCTGTGCAGTTCCAGGGCTCCAAGTGTGCTTTACCAGCTCCATTTTCCCTTCAGGCCAAGCTCTTCAGCTCCAGAAGAATCTTCCACTGAGGATTTGTCAGATACTTAGAGCTGAGGAAGTCTTGGGCACAAAGTGCCAAGTACAAAATACAGCTTGAAATGCAGTTTAATGAGTAATCCAAATTAGTAATCAGGGCAGAGAGTGGCTGGACATGGACACAGAGCCTATTGCACTGCAGGGACAGGCAGTCAGAAACATCCCTGGGGAGCCACTGCAGGGACATTTCCAGCAGGGAATGCTGCTCCTGGCTCCGTCTGCTTTCTTGGGAATCCCAGCACAAGGGTCTGGCACAGGCACCACAGACTGCTGGGCTGGTCTGAGGGCCAGGGAAAGGGGGCAGGAGCAGGAGGGGACCTGGCTGGGGTTAATCACTGTGGGCAGGAGGCTCCAGACACCTCCCAGAGCTGCCTGAGTCTGGAGCTGGAACACAGGAGCTTTTCCCAGCTCCCTCCTGGAGGCTTAGGCAGGACCTTTTATTGATTATTTTTACAGTTGCTGTGTTTAAGGTATTTTATTTTCCTTTCATTCTGTCTCCTACTGCAGTAATGCTGATTTCTTTCCCTTGTTTTGGTGCCTTTTCATGCTGTCACCAGAGCACAGATGGAAAAGCTGCAGGGGAAGGGGGAGGCAGAGCCCCCCGCTCGGGTGGGGTTGGTGGGGCAGAGCCGGCTCTGCTGAGCCCGGAGGGAGCAGCGTGTGGGCTCAGCCCTGCACAGACCGGGGCTGGGACAGTCCCTGAGCCCCTGGGGAGGGAGGAGTGGGCTCAGGGCTCCTCCCCTGACCCCTGACTCTTGTCTCTTGTTCCCAGGGCAGTGAACGGCTTTGACCAAGGGCCGCCGGGCCTGGGGGGCTCCCGACCGTCCTCGGCGCCGGGAATGCTCCCCCTGAGCGTATGAGCCGCGGGAGTTTGGACTTGGATGCTTTTCTCAGCCCACCTCGAGAAGAACTGCTCCCGATTCCTCCCCATTCCCACCCACCCCGCTGGAACATGACCCTGAGAGGAGACCCCGAGCCCACGGCCCTCCATGTCCTCCTGTCAATACAGTTTGTTTTCTGCTGTCGCTGTAGTGGACGTTCTCTGCCCCGGCCCCACGGGCTGCCACCTTCTGCTGTGCTTGGGGACACCGAGTCCTGCTCTGCCTGGGGGACAGGCCCAGCCTCGCCCTCTTGGCTCTCCCTCTCCTCTCCCTTAGGTCTGGCAGAGCCCGGGCCGCTGCTCTCCCGGCTCCCCCGTCCCCTCCCAGCCCTGCTGCTCTCAGACCTCGTGGAAGTGGCCTGGGGGAGACCAGCGCTGCTCTTGGGAGCCGGCCCCAGCTCCTGGCCCAGGACAGGGTGAGCAGCTCCATCCCCTCTGCCCTGGGGGTCACAGCCCAGCCCCGCAGCTCCTGGGCAGGGCCGAGCACGGCTGAGCTGCCCTCCCTGCCCTGGGGCAGTGCTGTGTGCAGGGGCTGTGCCCCCAGGGCTGCCCCACAGCTCCCCGGCCCTGCTGGACTCGGCCTCCGTCCCTCACCCCACACACAGCAACTCCATGGGAGCTTTAGGAAGCTGCTGCTCCCCCTGGCCCCAGGAACCCCCTGCCCATCACCCCTCGTGCTGTAGGACTGGATTGTGCAGCCTCACCTGCGGGCTTCTGTGACAGTTTGGGACGACTGAACCTTGTGGGTCTTTCAAGCAACACATCTGTGTGGTTTCTCTGTCCATGTGCCTCAGAGTCAGTGGATTTTTAGACTGAACCAGCAAATGGAGCCAGGGTTGGAGCTGAGGGTTCAGCAGTCGTCGTTCGGGGCTCTGCAGCTCCCAGGTGGTTGAGTTACAAATGCTGAGAAAAAAAACCCCACTGGCCCAGCAGTGGAGGTGGGATTGTCCCTTTGCCATTAGGGTTTGTAAGGTCCTTCCTTCCTGTGCATCCTCTGCTGCATTTGACTGTTTACATTTGTTTTATTGTACATAGATTTGTAAACATAATACCTTTGCCTGAGGTCTTTGTACATAACTTGGGCTTTGTAGCTTTATTTATTCAGCCTCTCTCTGGCATGTTTCCATAGGATGTACCGTTCCACCCTGGTGCCACTGACATGATGTGGTTTCAAAAGAATGAAAACAAATGAGAGCAATCTTCCAAAAATAAAGTTCTTTTAATGTGGAATCAGTGAATTTTGCAGAACCAGTGGCCATGGCTCGTCCTTTGTCCCGGAGGGTTTTCTGCCAAGCCCCAGGGCTGGGCCAGTGTTCAGGCAATGCCAGGTTATCCCACACCCCTTCCCTTGGGAATGTTGGGGAACGGGCACTGCTGGGGCCATCGCAACCTCTGCTGCTGGCACCGAGGAGGGACATGGAATTTCAGCTGGGGAAGTGTTGGAAGCCTCCAGCTGCCTTCCGGGGGATTTTTGCCTCCTTGGAGCAGCTGGAAGGAATTTCCAGAGGACAGGAGCTGGTCTGGGGCCCTTCCCAGGCTGCTCCATCCCTTCCTGTGCCCGGGGCTGTGTCTGTGCTGCTGCTGCCGCTCTCCGGCCGGGCTCAGCTCCCACTGGAGCTGCTGCCCAGTCCTGGGGCTGTGTCTGTGTCCTGCCCTGGGGCTGTGTCTGTGTCCAGTCCTGGGGCTGTGTCCAGTCCTGGGGCTGTGTCTGTGACCTGCCCTGGGGCTGTGTCCAGTCCTGGGGCTGTGTCTGTGTCCTCCCCTGGAGTTGTGTTTGTGTCCTGCCCTGGGGCCGTGTCCTGCCCGTGTCCAGCCCACCAGGGTCACCCTCCCTGTGACCACCCCAGCTCAGCCTCACCCCAGGCCCGGGCTGTCTGTCTGGGGCAGGAATTCCAGCCGTGTCAGAGGCAGGGAAAGCCCTTCCTCATCTCTTCTTTTCCACAGCAGTGAAGGAGGAAAAGGTGCCCAGGACTGACCCAGCTTCCATCCAGCCCCAAGCCTGCAACCACAGGTCCCATGGAAAGGAAAGCTTCACCCGCCCAGCCCCTCAGGCTGCTCTCTCCTCACTCCCTCACCTTTTTCATTCCCTCACTCCCCTCCCACCTGGCTCTGGCCCACCCTGGTCCCAGACCCAGCCAAAAGCTCCCACCCTGGACTCCTGCAGCTCCCAGGCCTTTCCTGCCCTGGCTGCAGGGCAGGTTCTGCACCCCAAGACCCCAAAATACAGGATCCAGCTGTGCAGGCTGGAGTCCTGGCTCTGCAGGAGGCAGAAGTGGGGCTGTGCCACAGCGCTGAGTGGCAGCAGGAGCACTCAGAGTTGCTTTGTACTCCAGCTGGGCCCTGCCAGTGGCATTCAAAGCAAAGGCTCAGCTCGGACCAAGCCATTGATGCTGTAGTTAGGTCAAAATAAAAGAAAAAAAAAAAGCAAGCAAACAAAACAGGAAGAAGGGAAAAGGCAGCTTCCAGTCATATCTCGTTTATTAAGGTCTATGCCAGCCTCGGGAGAGCTCTTCCAGTAAGTAAACAGAGCAGGCGGCCGCATCTATAATGAATAAATTTATTGTCTTACAAAAATCATTGTCTAGAAATATGGGTATACAAGAAAACAAGATATTTGCAGTCAGACGCCTGGTGGTCAACAGCCAGTTTGATTAAAAATATCCAAACACACACAACAAAACCTTTGCGACAGATGTTAAAGCTTTTAACCAAAAAGGGAAATCCATGGGTTTTGAGCATGTGGCAGAGGAAGTTTCCTAGTTAACACTGATTCATTGTCACTAATATCAATAATACCACTTGGACTAGAGAGGTACATGATATGAAGCACAGTCAAAATTAATACATTAAATCATTGTTATATAGGCAAATTATATATGTAACGTTGTCTTAGTACTGTAGTGTCTAAGGCACTTTCTGTAATGTCAGTTTTCAGCTATTTAAACAAAAAGAACGCTAACTACTCACTGTAATACTGCTCAAAATAATAATAAAAAAAAAAACCAACAACAAAAAAACAACAAAAAAAAAAAAAAAGGATTCACATCCACTGGCATGTTAACTGTAGGCAGGCAACATCCATCCATCCAGACAGGACCCCGGGGCTCCCGGAGCCTCCCACGGCCTGGCTCACATTAATAAATTAGTTTTGCCTGTGCTGTGTGTTTATTTCCCACTGGTGTTCACATTATCCCAGCCCGGGTGTCTGCAGGGCCCCGGGGGCTCTGAGCGCTCGGGGCTGCGCAGGGGACGGGACCCACCTCGGAGTGCCTGGACTGCATGGACACGAACGGATGGAGCAGGTGCTGAGAACACTTCAAATGGGATTGCAGGATAAAAATGGACGCTACTCACTCATCCCTACACTTCCCTCTAACACTTCCCAAGGCCGTTTTTCACAGTTCACTCAGGGGTCGTGTGCGGATCACAACAATTGGGAGCAAAGAAAGAAACGGGTGCGGTTTGGTCTTCACTGATCCGAGAGGCTGCGCCCAGCCCGGGGCCTGAAGGATGCTGCTGGACACAAGGCATGCACAGCCACGGCAAGGGGTCTGTCCTGGCCACCCACCCGCTGGGAATGACGCTTCTGGATTGATAAAAAAAAGTTTCATCCTTCACATGATGCTTTATAAAATGGCTTTACAATGAGTATCTGGAAAAGAGATGCACTGAACAGAGACGATCCCGGTTGTTTACTATATATAAAAAAGCGGTTGTACCTATATCTGAAGCAGGGTACAGTGTGGTGAGGCTGGAGAGCCTTAAGACATGGTTGACCTATGATAAGGAACCTTGTAGCACATGCCGAGGGTCGTAAGGCAGCTTTCCGGCCACAAGGCAGTTCCGAGGGCAGGCGGGGCGCTGCGAGCGCTCCGGCCCGGGGCTGGAAAGGTCTCTGCATGCAGGCGGGGCCGGGCGCTACTCGGCGGGGGCGGCCGGAGCCTCGTTCACATCGCTGCCCTTGCTCTCGGCATCGTCGTCCGACAGCTCCAGCGAGGCGCCCTCGATGTGCAGCTGCCGCCGGCCCGAGCGGCTCGAGGAGAAGGTGATGGGTCCCCCCCTCCTGCCAAGCGAGAGCAGCGCTGGGCCGGGGTCCTGGAGCTGGGCTGATCTTAAAGCCCGGCCCACCCCAGCCCCGCCCAGCAGGGACAGCTCCCACCGGCCCAGGCTGCTCCAAGCCCCAGTGTCCAGCCTGGCCTTGGGCACTGCAGCTGCTCCGGGAACCTGTGCCAGCCCTCCCAGGGAACAATTCCATCCCCATATCCCATCCAGCCCTGCCCTGTGTCAGTCTGAAGACATTCCCTGTGTCCTGTCTCTCCAGCCCTTGTCCCGAGTCCCTTCAGGTACTGGAAGGTCACAGTGAGGTCCTGCTGCAGCCCTCCCTGCTCAGCCCCAGGCTGCCTGCGGGGAACATTTCCCACAGGGAGTCTCAAACCCTCCTCCCTCCCCAAGGAGCCAGATCCCTGAGCTCCAACACCTCTGGCACGCTGGAATTCCTGCTTAGTTTGTACTTTATACCATCACCTTAGGTTTCCAAGTCTCAATTTAAAATGCTGTGTCTGCAGGAGCACCAAGCACAGACAAGAGCAGGCTCTGTACAAAATTCCAGGGCTGCTCAGGGAAGCTCAGCTCAGCAGCTCCAGCCAGGCTGAGCCCCTCTGTGCCACTCAGTGTGGCTCATGGGCTGCAGGAGTCACACTCTCCCCTGTCCCTGGCCCCCTGACCTGGATCCCACAGATCTGCTCTCAAGGAAACTGCTGCAACATTCCCAAAAGTCAGGGTCAGGACAAACAGGATCAGTACCAGTCACTGGAAAAGCACAACTGAGCTTTTACATTTACTGTGGCTGGGTTGGACTGGCTAGCCATGGAACCTGCCAATGTAAACTTGGAGGATTCTGAGCCCAGGAGCTGTCAGAAATACCCCTGGGGAGTATCTGGCAGCTTCCTTGGTACCAGCACCAGGCTCCAGTTTGACCCATTCCCTAAGCCCAGCAGCTGCTCAGCTGGAGTTCCCCAGGGATGATGCCCCATGGAGGGTGTGTGGGCAGGGAAGGGCTCAGCTCCAGCCCAGTCCCAGGGCTGCAGTGGCACTGACTGACCTTAGCCTGTTTTTGAGGGTGCTGACCTCCCGGCTCAGCCCCTCGTTGGCCTCCGTGGCATCGTCCAGCTCCCGCTGCAGCTTGCGCCGGGACGCGTTGGCGCGCGTGGCCTCCTCCTCCGCCTCCTCCAGCTGCCGCTTCAGCTGCTTCATCCTGGCATTGGCCTTCTCCATCTGCAACCAGCCCACAGCTGCAGCCCCTGCCTGCTCCCCCTCCTGCAGGCTCCAGCCTGGAGCCCCAACACCGCGAGCTCCGGCCCTGGGAGGGCAGGCTGGAGCAGCCCATCCCAGCAGAGCTCACGCTCGGGGAGAATCCAGTCCCCGCTGGGCTCACACCGCTGTGGATTCTGTCCCATTACAGCTCCTCT